TTTTGTACCGGCAAGCATCTTTTTTCTTATAATGTGAACCACGAGTTTGCAACAGTGACCGTCCAAACGAGATTACACAATAAATTCATTGTTCAACAAATCTGCAATTGTGTACAGTGTTTTCTTCTATTTTGTACTGGCAAGCATCTTTTGTTCTTATCATGTGAACAACGAGTTTGCAACAGTGACCTTCCAAACGAAATGACACAATAAATTCATTATTCAACAAATCTGCAATTGTGTACAGTGTTTTCTTCTATTTCGTACTGGCAAGCATCTTTTGTTCTTATCATGTGAACCACGAGTTTGCAACAGTGACCTTCCAAACGAAATGACACAAGAAATTCATTATTCAATAAATCTGCAAAATGATACGCTGTGAACAGGATTCGAACCTGCGCGGGAATAACCCATTGGATTTCAAGTCCAACGCCTTAACCACTCGGCCATCACAGCTCTGCCATGGAGCGTCAATAGCAAAGGAGCTATCCCGTAGCACATGTGACATAGTTTTCAAAAAGCAAAAATGATAAATCGCTGTGAACAGGATTCGAACCTGCGCTGGAATTTCCCATTGGATTTCGAGTCCAACGCCTTAACCACTCGGCCATCACAGCTCTGCCATGGAGTGTCAATAGCAAAGGAGCTATCCCGTAGCACATGTGACATAGTTTTCAAAAAGCAAAAATGATAAATCGCTGTGAACAGGAATCGAACCTGCGCTGGAATATCCCACAGCTGTGATAGCACGAGCTTAAAACAAATTCATGGAACTAGTCTTGACGTGGAAGCAATTCACTGGCTCAGAATAACATGTTTTTACTTTTTGAAATGTAGGATAAGAAACCCAGTAAACATCACACTCACCAATTCACGTGCCACAATCATTAGGGAATAAAATGGATAACATTTAACCTGCCTTTCAAACTTTTATCTAGGATTTCTTTCATTCAGCTTTATACAATTGTGTACAGTGTTTTCTTCTATTTTGTACCGGCAAGCATCTTTTTTCTTATAATGTGAACCACGAGTTTGCAACAGTGACCGTCCAAACGAGATTACACAATAAATTCATTGTTCAACAAATCTGCAATTGTGTACAGTGTTTTCTTCTATTTTGTACTGGCAAGCATCTTTTGTTCTTATCATGTGAACAACGAGTTTGCAACAGTGACCTTCCAAACGAAATGACACAATAAATTCATTATTCAACAAATCTGCAATTGTGTACAGTGTTTTCTTCTATTTCGTACTGGCAAGCATCTTTTGTTCTTATCATGTGAACCACGAGTTTGCAACAGTGACCTTCCAAACGAAATGACACAAGAAATTCATTATTCAATAAATCTGCAAAATGATACGCTGTGAACAGGATTCGAACCTGCGCGGGAATAACCCATTGGATTTCAAGTCCAACGCCTTAACCACTCGGCCATCACAGCTCTGCCATGGAGCGTCAATAGCAAAGGAGCTATCCCGTAGCACATGTGACATAGTTTTCAAAAAGCAAAAATGATAAATCGCTGTGAACAGGATTCGAACCTGCGCGGGAATTTCCCATTGGATTTCGAGTCCAACGCCTTAACCACTCGGCCATCACAGCTCTGCCATGGAGCGTCAATAGCAAAGGAGCTATCCCGTAGCACATGTGACATAGTTTTCAAAAAGCAAAAATGATAAATCGCTGTGAACAGGAATCGAACCTGCGCTGGAATATCCCACAGCTGTGATAGCACGAGCTTAAAACAAATTCATGGAACTAGTCTTGACGTGGAAGCAATTCACTGGCTCAGAATAACATGTTTTTACTTTTTGAAATGTAGGATAAGAAACCCAGTAAACATCACACTCACCAATTCACGTGCCACAATCATTAGGGAATAAAATGGATAACATTTAACCTGCCTTTCAAACTTTTATCTAGGATTTCTTTCATTCAGCTTTATACAATTGTGTACAGTGTTTTCTTCTATTTTGTACCGGCAAGCATCTTTTTTCTTATAATGTGAACCACGAGTTTGCAACAGTGACCGTCCAAACGAGATTACACAATAAATTCATTGTTCAACAAATCTGCAATTGTGTACAGTGTTTTCTTCTATTTTGTACTGGCAAGCATCTTTTGTTCTTATCATGTGAACAACGAGTTTGCAACAGTGACCTTCCAAACGAAATGACACAATAAATTCATTATTCAACAAATCTGCAATTGTGTACAGTGTTTTCTTCTATTTCGTACTGGCAAGCATCTTTTGTTCTTATCATGTGAACCACGAGTTTGCAACAGTGACCTTCCAAACGAAATGACACAAGAAATTCATTATTCAATAAATCTGCAAAATGATACGCTGTGAACAGGATTCGAACCTGCGCGGGAATAACCCATTGGATTTCAAGTCCAACGCCTTAACCACTCGGCCATCACAGCTCTGCCATGGAGCGTCAATAGCAAAGGAGCTATCCCGTAGCACATGTGACATAGTTTTCAAAAAGCAAAAATGATAAATCGCTGTGAACAGGATTCGAACCTGCGCGGGAATTTCCCATTGGATTTCGAGTCCAACGCCTTAACCACTCGGCCATCACAGCTCTGCCATGGAGTGTCAATAGCAAAGGAGCTATCCCGTAGCACATGTGACATAGTTTTCAAAAAGCAAAAATGATAAATCGCTGTGAACAGGAATCGAACCTGCGCTGGAATATCCCACAGCTGTGATAGCACGAGCTTAAAACAAATTCATGGAACTAGTCTTGACGTGGAAGCAATTCACTGGCTCAGAATAACATGTTTTTACTTTTTGAAATGTAGGATAAGAAACCCAGTAAACATCACACTCACCAATTCACGTGCCACAATCATTAGGGAATAAAATGGATAACATTTAACCTGCCTTTCAAACTTTTATCTAGGATTTCTTTCATTCAGCTTTATACAATTGTGTACAGTGTTTTCTTCTATTTTGTACCGGCAAGCATCTTTTTTCTTATAATGTGAACCACGAGTTTGCAACAGTGACCGTCCAAACGAGATTACACAATAAATTCATTGTTCAACAAATCTGCAATTGTGTACAGTGTTTTCTTCTATTTTGTACTGGCAAGCATCTTTTGTTCTTATCATGTGAACAACGAGTTTGCAACAGTGACCTTCCAAACGAAATGACACAATAAATTCATTATTCAACAAATCTGCAATTGTGTACAGTGTTTTCTTCTATTTCGTACTGGCAAGCATCTTTTGTTCTTATCATGTGAACCACGAGTTTGCAACAGTGACCTTCCAAACGAAATGACACAAGAAATTCATTATTCAATAAATCTGCAAAATGATACGCTGTGAACAGGATTCGAACCTGCGCGGGAATAACCCATTGGATTTCAAGTCCAACGCCTTAACCACTCGGCCATCACAGCTCTGCCATGGAGCGTCAATAGCAAAGTAGCTATCCCGTAGCACATGTGACATAGTTTGCAAAAAGCAAAAATGATAAATCGCTGTGAACAGGATTCGAACCTGCGCGGGAATTTCCCATTGGATTTCGAGTCCAACGCCTTAACCACTCGGCCATCACAGCCTGCTATGGAGCGTCAATAGCAAAGGAGCTATCCCGTAGCACATGTGACATAGTTTTCAAAAAGCAAAAATGATAAATCGCTGTGAACAGGATTCGAACCTGCGCGGGAATTTCCCATTGGATTTCGAGTCCAACGCCTTAACCACTCGGCCATCACAGCTCTGCCATGGAGCGTCAATAGCAAAGGAGCTATCCCGTAGCTCATGTGACATAGTTTTCAAAAAGCAAAAATGATAAATCGCTGTGAACAGGAATCGAACCTGCGCTGGAATATCCCACAGCTGTGATAGCACGAGCTTAAAACAAATTCATGGAACTAGTCTTGACGTGGAAGCAATTCACTGGCTCAGAATAACATGTTTTTACTTTTTGAAATGCAGGATAAGAAACCCAGTAATGACACAATAAATTCATTATTCAACAAATCTGCAATTGTGTACAGTGTTTTCTTCTATTTCGTACTGGCAAGCATCTTTTGTTCTTATCATGTGAACCACGAGTTTGCAACAGTGACCTACCAAACGAAATGACACAAGAAATTCATTATTCAATAAATCTGCAAAATGATCCGCTGTGAACAGGATTCGAACCTGCGCGGGAATAACCCATTGGATTTCAAGTCCAACGCCTTAACCACTCGGCCATCACAGCTCTGCCATGGAGCGTCAATAGCAAAGGAGCTATCCCGTAGCACATGTGACATAGTTTTCAAAAAGCAAAAATGATAAATCGCCGTGAAGAGGAATCGAACCTGCGCTGGAATATCCCACAGCTGTGATAGCACGAGCTTAAAACAAATTCATGGAACTAGTCTTGACGTGGAAGCAATTCACTGGCTCAGAATAACATGTTTTTACTTTTTGAAATGTAGGATAAGAAACCCAGTAAACATCACACTCACCAATTCACGTGCCACAATCATTAGGGAATAAAATGGATAACATTTAACCTGCCTTTCAAACTTTTATCTAGGATTTCTTTCATTCAGCTTTATACAATTGTGTACAGTGTTTTCTTCTATTTTGTACCGGCAAGCATCTTTTTTCTTATAATGTGAACCACGAGTTTGCAACAGTGACCTTCCAAACGAAATGACACAATAAATTCATTATTCAACAAATCTGCAATTGTGTACAGTGTTTTCTTCTATTTCGTACTGGCAAGCATCTTTTGTTCTTATCATGTGAACCACGAGTTTGCAACAGTGACCTTCCAAACGAAATGACACAAGAAATTCATTATTCAATAAATCTGCAAAATGATACGCTGTGAACAGGATTCGAACCTGCGCGGGAATAACCCATTGGATTTCAAGTCCAACGCCTTAACCACTCGGCCATCACAGCTCTGCCATGGAGCGTCAATAGCAAAGGAGCTATCCCGTAGCACATGTGACATAGTTTTCAAAAAGCAAAAATGATAAATCGCTGTGAACAGGTTTCGAACCTGCGTGGGAATTTCCCATTGGATTTCGAGTCCAACGCCTTAACCACTCGGCCATCACAGCTCTGCCATGGAGCGTCAATAGCAAAGGAGCTATCCCGTAGCACATGTGACATAGTTTTCAAAAAGCAAAAATGATAAATCGCTGTGAACAGGAATCGAACCTGCGCTGGAATATCCCACAGCTGTGATAGCACGAGCTTAAAACAAATTCATGGAACTAGTCTTGACGTGGAAGCAATTCACTGGCTCAGAATAACGTGTTTTTACTTTTTGAAATGTAGGATAAGAAACCCAGTAAACATCACACTCACCAATTCACGTGCCACAATCATTAGGGAATAAAATGGATAACATTTAACCTGCCTTTCAAACTTTTATCTAGGATTTCTTTCATTCAGCTTTATACAATTGTGTACAGTGTTTTCTTCTATTTTGTACCGGCAAGCATCTTTTTTCTTATAATGTGAACCACGAGTTTGCAACAGTGACCGTCCAAACGAGATTACACAATAAATTCATTGTTCAACAAATCTGCAATTGTGTACAGTGTTTTCTTCTATTTTGTACTGGCAAGCATCTTTTGTTCTTATCATGTGAACAACGAGTTTGCAACAGTGACCTTCCAAACGAAATGACACAATAAATTCATTATTCAACAAATCTGCAATTGTGTACAGTGTTTTCTTCTATTTCGTACTGGCAAGCATCTTTTGTTCTTATCATGTGAACCACGAGTTTGCAACAGTGACCTTCCAAACGAAATGACACAAGAAATTCATTATTCAATAAATCTGCAAAATGATACGCTGTGAACAGGATTCGAACCTGCGCGGGAATAACCCATTGGATTTCAAGTCCAACGCCTTAACCACTCGGCCATCACAGCTCTGCCATGGAGCGTCAATAGCAAAGTAGCTATCCCGTAGCACATGTGACATAGTTTTCAAAAAGCAAAAATGATAAATCGCTGTGAACAGGTTTCGAACCTGCGTGGGAATTTCCCATTGGATTTCGAGTCCAACGCCTTAACCACTCGGCCATCACAGCTCTTCCATGGAGCGTCAATAGCAAAGGAGCTATCGCGTAGCACATGTGACATAGTTTTCAAAAAGCAAAAATGATAAATCGCTGTGAACAGGAATCGAACCTGCGCTGGAATATCCCACAGCTGTGATAGCACGAGCTTAAAACAAATTCATGGAACTAGTCTTGACGTGGAAGCAATTCACTGGCTCAGAATAACATGTTTTTACTTTTTGAAATGTAGGATAAGAAACCCAGTAAACATCACACTCACCAATTCACGTGCCACAATCATTAGGGAATAAAATGGATAACATTTAACCTGCCTTTCAAACTTTTATCTAGGATTTCTTTCATTCAGCTTTATACAATTGTGTACAGTGTTTTCTTCTATTTTGTACCGGCAAGCATCTTTTTTCTTATAATGTGAACCACGAGTTTGCAACAGTGACCGTCCAAACGAGATTACACAATAAATTCATTGTTCAACAAATCTGCAATTGTGTACAGTGTTTTCTTCTATTTTGTACTGGCAAGCATCTTTTGTTCTTATCATGTGAACAACGAGTTTGCAACAGTGACCTTCCAAACGAAATGACACAATAAATTCATTATTCAACAAATCTGCAATTGTGTACAGTGTTTTCTTCTATTTCGTACTGGCAAGCATCTTTTGTTCTTATCATGTGAACCACGAGTTTGCAACAGTGACCTTCCAAACGAAATGACACAAGAAATTCATTATTCAATAAATCTGCAAAATGATACGCTGTGAACAGGATTCGAACCTGCGCGGGAATAACCCATTGGATTTCAAGTCCAACGCCTTAACCACTCGGCCATCACAGCTCTGCCATGGAGCGTCAATAGCAAAGGAGCTATCCCGTAGCACATGTGAAATAGTTTGCAAAAAGCAAAAATGATAAATCGCTGTGAACAGGATTCGAACCTGCGCGGGAATTTCCCATTGGATTTCGAGTCCAACGCCTTAACCACTCGGCCATCACAGCTCTGCCATGGAGCGTCAATAGCAAAGGAGCTATCGCGTAGCACATGTGACATAGTTTTCAAAAAGCAAAAATGATAAATCGCTGTGAACAGGATTCGAACCTGCGCGGGAATTTCCCATTGGATTTCGAGTCCAACGCCTTAACCACTCGGCCATCACAGCTCTGCCATGGAGCGTCAATAGCAAAGGAGCTATCCCGTAGCACATGTGACATAGTTTTCAAAAAGCAAAAATGATAAATCGCTGTGAACAGGATTCGAACCTGCGCGGGAATATCCCACGGCTGTGATAGCACGAGCTTAAAACAAATTCATGGAACTAGTCTTGACGTGGAAGCAATTCACTGGCTCAGAATAACATGTTTTTACTTTTTGAAATGTAGGATAAGAAACCCAGTAAACATCACACTCACCAATTCACGTGCCACAATCATTAGGGAATAAAATGGATAACATTTAACCTGCCTTTCAAACTTTTATCTAGGATTTCTTTCATTCAGCTTTATACAATTGTGTACAGTGTTTTCTTCTATTTTGTACCGGCAAGCATCTTTTTTCTTATAATGTGAACCACGAGTTTGCAACAGTGACCGTCCAAACGAGATTACACAATAAATTCATTGTTCAACAAATCTGCAATTGTGTACAGTGTTTTCTTCTATTTTGTACTGGCAAGCATCTTTTGTTCTTATCATGTGAACAACGAGTTTGCAACAGTGACCTTCCAAACGAAATGACACAATAAATTCATTATTCAACAAATCTGCAATTGTGTACAGTGTTTTCTTCTATTTCGTACTGGCAAGCATCTTTTGTTCTTATCATGTGAACAACGAGTTTGCAACAGTGACCTTCCAAACGAAATGACACAAGAAATTCATTATTCAATAAATCTGCAAAATGATACGCTGTGAACAGGATTCGAACCTGCGCGGGAATAACCCATTGGATTTCAAGTCCAACGCCTTAACCACTCGGCCATCACAGCTCTGCCATGGAGCGTCAATAGCAAAGGAGCTATCCCGTAGCACATGTGACATAGTTTTCAAAAAGCAAAAATGATAAATCGCTGTGAACAGGATTCGAACCTGCGTGGGAATTTCCCATTGGATTTCGAGTCCAACGCCTTAACCACTCGGCCATCACAGCTCTGCCATGGAGCGTCAATAGCAAAGGAGCTATCCCGTAGCACATGTGACATAGTTTTCAAAAAGCAAAAATGATAAATCGCTGTGAACAGGAATCGAACCTGCGCTGGAATATCCCACAGCTGTGATAGCACGAGCTTAAAACAAATTCATGGAACTAGTCTTGACGTGGAAGCAATTCACTGGCTCAGAATAACATGTTTTTACTTTTTGAAATGTAGGATAAGAAACCCAGTAAACATCACACTCACCAATTCACGTGCCACAATCATTAGGGAATAAAATGGATAACATTTAACCTGCCTTTCAAACTTTTATCTAGGATTTCTTTCATTCAGCTTTATACAATTGTGTACAGTGTTTTCTTCTATTTTGTACCGGCAAGCATCTTTTTTCTTATAATGTGAACCACGAGTTTGCAACAGTGACCGTCCAAACGAGATTACACAATAAATTCATTGTTCAACAAATCTGCAATTGTGTACAGTGTTTTCTTCTATTTTGTACTGGCAAGCATCTTTTGTTCTTATCATGTGAACAACGAGTTTGCAACAGTGACCTTCCAAACGAAATGACACAATAAATTCATTATTCAACAAATCTGCAATTGTGTACAGTGTTTTCTTCTATTTCGTACTGGCAAGCATCTTTTGTTCTTATCATGTGAACCACGAGTTTGCAACAGTGACCTTCCAAACGAAATGACACAAGAAATTCATTATTCAATAAATCTGCAAAATGATACGCTGTGAACAGGATTCGAACCTGCGCGGGAATAACCCATTGGATTTCAAGTCCAACGCCTTAACCACTCGGCCATCACAGCTCTGCCATGGAGCGTCAATAGCAAAGGAGCTATCCCGTAGCACATGTGAAATAGTTTGCAAAAAGCAAAAATGATAAATCGCTGTGAACAGGATTCGAACCTGCGCGGGAATTTCCCATTGGATTTCGAGTCCAACGCCTTAACCACTCGGCCATCACAGCTCTGCCATGGAGCGTCAATAGCAAAGGAGCTATCCCGTAGCACATGTGACATAGTTTTCAAAAAGCAAAAATGATAAATCGCTGTGAACAGGATTCGAACCTGCGCGGGAATTTCCCATTGGATTTCGAGTCCAACGCCTTAACCACTCGGCCATCACAGCTCTGCCATGGAGCGTCAATAGCAAAGGAGCTATCCCGTAGCACATGTGACATAGTTTTCAAAAAGCAAAAATGATAAATCGCTGTGAACAGGATTCGAACCTGCGCGGGAATATCCCACAGCTGTGATAGCACGAGCTTAAAACAAATTCATGGAACTAGTCTTGACGTGGAAGCAATTCACTGGCTCAGAATAACATGTTTTTACTTTTTGAAATGTAGGATAAGAAACCCAGTAAACATCACACTCACCAATTCACGTGCCACAATCATTAGGGAATAAAATGGATAACATTTAACCTGCCTTTCAAACTTTTATCTAGGATTTCTTTCATTCAGCTTTATACAATTCTGTACAGTGTTTTCTTCTATTTTGTACCGGCAAGCATCTTTTTTCTTATAATGTGAACCACGAGTTTGCAACAGTGACCGTCCAAACGAGATTACACAATAAATTCATTGTTCAACAAATCTGCAATTGTGTACAGTGTTTTCTTCTATTTTGTACTGGCAAGCATCTTTTGTTCTTATCATGTGAACAACGAGTTTGCAACAGTGACCTTCCAAACGAAATGACACAATAAATTCATTATTCAACAAATCTGCAATTGTGTACAGTGTTTTCTTCTATTTCGTACTGGCAAGCATCTTTTGTTCTTATCATGTGAACAACGAGTTTGCAACAGTGACCTTCCAAACGAAATGACACAAGAAATTCATTATTCAATAAATCTGC